TGGTGCTTTGGTGCGTGTCTTTGTGAAAAGGTTTTAAACCTGGAGAGGAAAGCGGCTGCGGGAGGGGCTGCGCTTTCTTTCTCTTTTCCTCTTTTACACACTTTCTACCCACGCCAGGTGCCTCCATCCCGAGTCCCAGGCTCAGCAAGTGGGAGCCAAATAAACACAGAAATGCGTGTTTTCTTCTTTCAGTCAGGAATAGACACTCTCCATCTAGTCCAAATGACTCCTGTCCTCCCCTAAGACAAGCTCCAAGGAGCATTTCTAGCTCAGGAGCAGAAAACCGAGGTAGGTAATTCCTCTATGAAGATGTCCACTGAAGGCGCAGCAGTGCCAACAACTGGGCCATTGACCTGAATTAGTCTTAACCGTGGATATGTTCAACACGCTGACCTACATCTCCTTTTTTACAGGAACCAACCCTCCCAGAGGGTTTTCTCGATACAAGCAGCCGGAGCGAGCCCAGCTGCCAAGCGGGCAACACGTCTAACGCCAAACACGCCACCCTGCACGCTCTGTGGTGGGCAACACGAACGGACCAAGCCGCTCCTCGGTCTGTGAACCACGGCTTTGCCAAGCTGCCAAGTCCCGTGGGTGGAAAGAAGTTATCAAGCGGTCCCCTCTGGCATCTTATGAGTGGAACAAAAAGCATACAGTACCCCTGGACTCAATAAAAGCGGGTATGAATTGTCACCTCCCTGCTTGTGAACGCACCATCAACTCCACAACGTTACAGACACTGCAGCGGGGACCGTTCCAACCTGTAAACAGCAGCAGTTGCTCCCCGGTGTCAGCCCAGTGTCAGGGCAGGCATCCCTCCCCACTTCCATTGCATTGGTTGTGGACAAGAAGACACAAGGAGTAGCAAGTTTAGGAGGCCCAAAGCCCTAATAGGCAAATGATTTTGGCCATAGGACTCCTGTTAAAACCCGTGGGAATGGGATGCTCAGCTCGCCCTTTGGCTCCATGCCCAAGGTTTTCAGGACTCCAGCTAGAAAATCATGAGGTTAGGAGGCAGGGGGACTTGGCGCCAGTCCCACTTCTCTTCCTCCGCAAGAGAAGCCCACCAGTCATGGGAGGTGCTGCCATATGCTCGACCTGCCGCCTCAGATCCATCACGCTTCAGTGACCAAATGACAGGCTAAACCCCTTTCCTTGAACTTGCAACACAAGCTGAAAATCCACACACCATAGCTAAGCCACTGCAGAGTCGGTTCCTCAGCGACAACTCTCCTGGGCTGAGATTTGTGTGCCGAAGGGGCACATTGCTACACCAGAAGACCCACTGGAAAGGGGAGAGATCACACAGAAGTCCCCTTAGGTCTGGGGGGTGGCTTTGTTCATGAAACCACAATACTTAGTGCAAGGGCACTGCAAAAACTCCCTCCGCCACGAGGCAAGGCTTTTAACTCCAGCAACAGCCCACGCCTCCTCTCCCCAGTAGCTCCAGAGCTCCCAGTTTAGGAGCCATGTGTCCGTCCTTGGGAGCGAAGCACATTAAAGAACAGAACTGCTGGGTGGTGTGTGCAGCACCATCAGCCAAAGGCTGTGTTCGAGTCCAGTGGACACAATGTCTCCTGCTTTGCCACGTAAATGGGTAATTTCATGCCAAACATTTGTTCTGTTGGAGAATCACTAGCTCATCATCTTTCCCGTTAGCGAAATTTCTACATCGGTGTGGCACCGAGAGATGTATTTGTTACGCATACAAACACCCCGCTAAGAAATTTAACACGAGACTTAAATAGCTGCAAGCAAAGCAAAAGGCGCGTGTGCAAGTGAGCCAACACAATTACACAACCAGACCATCCAGGTCCCTCACAC